CCCCCCCCCCCCCCCTTCACAGGAAGGTTTTCTTTTGTGAAGACTTTGTGTGCGTAATTTGGACTTGTTTCCTTCGCGTCCCATTTTTTCTGTTTCATGAGTTCCTGATAAAAATTTTCTTCTGAGTAATTTAGACTTGTTTCCTTCGCGTCCCATTGTTTTCTATTTCATGAGTTCCTGATAAAAATGGATTTTTTTAAGTTGTTCAGCAGACCTCGTTGAAATTTCAGTCCAATTACTCGAGTGTCCCTTTTAATTTTTTTCGTTTCTTTAGCTGTTTTCCAATACGAAAGCTTTCCCGTTTTGGCCCATTGTCAATGTGCAGCCTCCGCTCCGCTTAGGTAACGCTTCTCCTGCGTGGATGAGGGGAAATGGAAAAGCCTGCTACACAGACTAATAGCTAAGCATAACTAGAAATACACGGCGCCTAGAGAAACTTTCGCAAGCAAGTAATTTTTAAACGATTATCTCAGTAACGCAAAAAAGCGAGAAATATGTCGATTAAACGCTTTTTATTTACAGTTAAAATAACCACATTACTTTCCCTTCTGGCGCACCGTTATCCAAGACTAGAGCTACAGTATAAGAAGACCACAACAAAACTTGCAAATGGAGAACTGGTTACAACAAGCTTGAACTCAGGCGTCCCAAAAATCCTCGTCAGCAACTTTGTCGATTCACAGTTTCATTTGCAATTATAGGATATAAATACTTGAGAAAAATTAAAAATTAAAAAAAAAATTATAATTCTTCCCAATTTAAGTAAGAAATAGTTGATAAAAGATCCTTAACCTAAAACTGAAAACAAAGAAAAAAACAACAAACCACGCTAAATCCTTTCGACAAAATCCAGATAAGTCGAAAACTTGTTTTCATGACTTTTCCCTTAAATCTTCCTACAGGCTTTAAATCTATTCAGAATCAAATATACCTAAACAATAGTGGCGAATGGTATTGCGGAAAAAGGAAAACGCTACAATTAATAAAGATAATTATACAGTATTCATATGGCTACGCTGCTCTGTCCTTTCAATCCTCAGGGTTCTTGGTAGGCAGGAAAACACAGCTGACATTCAGGCAAGAAAAGATATCGCAACAAAGACCGATCTTTTCGCACTGAGAGCCACCTGGACTGTTCATGCATATCAAACGTTAGCTAAACAGCACCCCCGACTGTTTCTCGGGAAACACGAATGTGAACGTAAGGTCGTGCTTGTTTGACTTGCTCTTGAATGGAATTCAGTTCTTGCTCAGAAGCGGTTTGGAATAGGTTAACGTCGTACAGTCGTGACCTTTTGACGAGGTGTGGCATCAGAGAGTTTACCGCGCGACCCAGTGGATTGTCTGACAGGTCCAGTTTGAACAACTCAGGAATGAATTTAAGGTTCTCCAGCAGACCTTGTAAATCTTGCTCATCCAAGTGTAATGCAGTGAGCATTAAACGTTGCAAGTTAGGGAAAAACTGAAAGCTCTTTGTTAATGGGGCAAGAACACCTTTAACACAAAAACCACTAAAATGGAGCGTTTGCAACAGCATTTTTGTGTTAATTCCACCAAACAGCGCCTCCATTTCCACGATATTCAAGATGCTTCCATCACTCCCAGTTAACTTGAGTTTTCTCAAAGCCGACATCTCGGCGAGTGACTGACCGAGTGCCACAGCAACTGCTCGAGTCAAGGTAACTCCACTGAAAATAATTTCATGAAGCAAATACGGAGCTGTTTCAAGACACACTATGTTCGCAGTGACCTGCGCCTCACACTGTACACTCAAGCCGTGAATATCTGGAAGAAATCTTAGGCATCTCAGCAGACCGCAAACATTCTGCTCATTCTCGTTTTCGGAGGAAATTTTTAAATATACTTTCAGCAGATTTGGAAACTCTCCAAAACGTTTGACAAGTCGAGTAAGGCAGCTTCCCACTCTGAAACCACTGAAAGACAACTGTTGCAAATTAACTGTTTTGTCGAGACCACCAAAGAGAGCTTCAACTTCTTTATCCTGCATAATTATCTCACCTGAACTAAATAAGCAGAGTTGTTCCAGGGATGACATTGTAGAAAGTGCCCGACCGAGCGCCGAGATTACTGGCGGAGTTAGGCTTATATTCCGCAGCTCCAGGGTCTTAAAACGAGACAATGTCAAATGGCCCATTGTGTTTTCCTCTCCCTCGCAACCTTCACGAGCCAGTGGTCTACATTCAACGACGAGTATGTTTAGGCGAGGAAAATATTTTGAAAGGAATAAATCGCTCGCTAGAAAACCACACATTTCGCTATTGTTTAAATCAATGTCCAGCTCCATCATTGTCATTTTGGGGAAGAAACGAAAACTGTCGGTGAGTGGGGCAAGAACACTTCTTTCGCTAAAATCATCTGAAGTAGATCTGTGCGATGCCAAACACTCGTTGAATCCACTTGGCAAAGCCTCCGTCTCTCCAGTTTGCAAAACAATCCCTTCCTTTACAAAGAGACTGTCTAACGACATTTGAGGGAGCAGCCGACCAAGCGCCCTAACAACCGCGGGGTTCAGGGTTATTCCACTCAAGGACAGTATTTGGAGAGCCGCCAGTGTGCAGCTAACCTCTGTTTCCACCCTCTCAGAACAGTCGGCATGGAACGGAATCTGTCGCTGGCCCTTCACACCCAATGACATCAAATTGGGAATGCATCTTACGCCCGACAGCAAATGAAAAAAGTTATGTTCATTCAGGCTCACCTCGCCTATATCCAAATACTCTAGCTTAGGAAAGAAGCGCAAACAGTCGCTAAGTGGGGCAAGACAGCCTCTCATGCTGAAACGCTGGACAATAAGCCGGCACAAAGGCAATTCCTCGCTGAAACCTCCAAACAGAGCATCCATTTGTTCAGCTTGCAACACACTTCCATCCACACCGATAAGCTCCAATGTTGTTAGGGAAGACATTCTAGGAAGACACTGACCCAATGCTTCGGCTGCTTTTGAAGTTAGACTTATGCCAGACAAAATAAGCCGCTGCAGAGAAAGTAATTCTCGAAATTGGCCAAAAATCACCTCTATTTCCTCACCTTCCAAAGTGTTTTCATCATTCTCACCGTTACTACGGTTAGAATAAGAAAACGTAAATTCTTCCAAAGACGACATTTCAGAAATCAGCCTGCCGAGTGCCCTGGCCACTGTTGGAGTGAAGCTTACATCAAGCAGAAATAGACGACCAGAATACACTTGCAACCGACCCGAGTTCCCTTCTCCTTTACAATCTGCGCGAGCCACTGATTTGCAATGTATGCTTGTTGTGGGCAAACTAGGAATATTTCTTAAGCGCTCCAGAAACACAAGAAAATTGGCGTCATTAATAATGAAATTAATGTCAATGTTAACATATGCCCATTGTAATTCTGGAAACAACTGCAAGCTGTTTATGAGGTGATCAAGACGGCCTTTCATGCTGAATTTATGAAACGCCAACTGCTGCAAGGGCAAACGCTTTTTAAATCCACCAAACAGCACCTCAACTTCCCCGTCTTGCAAAATTCTATCATCTCCCTCAAAAATTCTATCATCTCTCTCATAAATTCGCAATTCTTTTAGCGCCGACATCTCAGGAATCAACTGGCCCAGCAACTCGGCCACTGCTAACGTCAGGCTTACATTTGATAGGCACAGCCTGTTGAGAGTTTGGTGGGTGAAGCTGGTCTGCATGACTTCTTCCTCTGAGCATCCTCTGACTTCTTCCTCTGAGTCATTCTGTAGTGTTCCAGTTAAAGAAAGAGTCTCCAAACGCGGAATAAATTCAAGATTCCTGAACAAATGAAGCAAGTTATGCTCATTCCAGGTGATAAAATGGAGGTCTAAGCATCGCAATAGGGGAAAGAAGCGTAAATTATTGCTTAAGGGAGCAATACAGCCTCCGATGTTAAAATCCATAAACCGAAGCTCACTTAAAGGTAGCGTTTTGTGAAATCCGCCGAACAGCGCCTTCACTGGCAAAACATCTCCGTTACTTCCACCAACTAAAATGAGCTTCTCTAAGCACGACATTTCAGGGAGTGACTGCCCGAGAACTGAAGCGGATGATGGTGTTAAGCTGATTTCATTCAGTAAAAGACCCTTCAGAGTCACATGATTGACACTAACAACAAGTTTCTCTACTTCTGCAGCAAAGCACGACGTAAGGGCCAGATTCAGGCGAAAGACCCTAGTGAATT